TCGATTAATACCCAACCTAATTAAAATTTAAAGAATAGAAATTTATTCAACAGATATTAATCTTAGCAATGATGACACCTCTCAATTTCGAACAGAATCTCGATCTCATGAAGCAATTTTTATTAGAAATACATCTCCCATAGGTGAATACCTCCTTATATTGAACTTGAACATCATTTTTACAGTTCTAATTGCTATTTTAAGCTCTTTTAAGTGAACATACGTGGAATTTTTTTCTTCATTTCTGGCTAATGCAGTGAAACAACTGTTCATTATTTGGTATAATTTTTTATATATCAGAAAAAGCAATGACATCACAACATTATTGTATATCAAATGGAAACATTCACTTATTTAATGATTATAAGGATAGTAATAGTTTAGTACAATATGAATTAACTGAAAACTTGAATATTTTTACTTGATTTTATATTCGATATTATAAAACGAACATTCAAAAGGTTAATTGTATAACAAGTTCATCAAATTCACATATATCGAGATCGAAATAATAATACAAGATTTTGTGAAACGAAGCAAAACTTTGTATTCTGTTAAACATTCTTTGGGTTCATAAATGTCCAAATGAAGAAAGATAAACAAACATAGGGAATGATCTCTGATTACTTCAAAACTAATAACGAAGCTTATATTCTGAAATACCTTTTTCTCATGTTATAATAAAATTCATGTTAGCGTCCTCCATAAAATGTATTGGATAAAAACTGAAATAGAAAAATATCGATGACATTCAATCGTCATTTATGTCTATAACAAACTTTGAAAAAAATAAAAAAGTTAATTCACATCTCGATTGTGAGTGTGAGAGTGAAATGAAAAGACCAAATGCATGCACATTGACAATCCACATCCTTCATTGATTATTTTAAAAATGTTATTTGCTAGTGATTAGATAGCATATTTTGTTGATAATAAAGTTTCATATGCTATGGTTAACTTTTGCTTCTATATAATATGTTAGTGGATTCGAAATTACCCTAGACCAATCTGAGATTCGCCTAAAATTTTTAGATGAATCTTAGATATTGAACGTTAACATCTCCCATAGATGAATACTTTTTAAAAGTTTCGACAGTGTTCATTTAAGTAAGGTTTTACTACATTCACATTGAAAAATATTGTATAACAAGAAATGTTTCATTAACTTTCAATCAATTACTTTTTCTTTTTTACCTTCACTATCTTGTACAACTTCCATACGTCCACTAAACATTGCTTTAAACATAGTATCTTCTTTTGTTAATGTATCAAAACTTGTTAAAAAAAGATGATTGCCTACATTAAGTTTAACATATTTTCCAAAATGATTAGAATTATTTGTTGACGAATTTCTATTCGACACTGACGATGATGTTGAATCACTCATCTAAAATTTATCAAATTATTGTATTTAGATGCTCGTTATGTGTTTTTCTTTCTTTATAACTAATTAAATCATCATTTCTAAAAAAAAAGAAAATAACACGATCAGATATATTTTTATTGACAACATAAACTTGCACATGATCGATTACTAATGAAACAGGTAATACAAATAATATTATATCGTATTTAGTTTCAAAACTACATGAAAGTGATAATTAATAGGAATAATATGAAAGACAGCAACAGTGATGTATTATTTATTAATTTTAGAAGAGAAAAAAAGGAAATAATAATTATTTAATATATTTTCAATTGCCGAATCATGTCGTTGATCAATCGTGAAGGTGCTAAAAAAAAAATAAATAATAAATATAAAAAATTTTATTAAAGATTTTAATCTAACCTGGTCCAATACCGAGTACTGTTTTACGACCTGAACCAATTTTTGTTTGACCTATAATAAATATTTAACATTTCAATAGACAATATACATTCAAATTGTTTTTCTTTACATACCCACATCACGTATCAAACAAGTTGTTAAGCCTTGAAATTTAGCTTGACGACGTAATTGTTCTCTACCGAAAAAAAAAATACCTTAATATAATTATAGATACATATAAAATAATTATCTTACAAATCATCATCAGATTCACATTTACACACAACTTTTGCTTGTCCACTAGAAAACCATGTATCGACAACATCAGGTATTTTTTCACATGCTTTTTGAAAACATGCAAGTGTAGCATGAGAACACTATCAAAATGATACATTCATTTTTTATAATATCATAAGTTTATTTGACTTACTTGTGCTGCTATTTTTCCTATATTGGAAAAATAAATAAATAAAAATATGAAAATAAAATATCTTAATTTTAAAATTTACCGTGACCCATTTTGAGATCATTTCGTACAACAAGTACAAGCTAAAATTCAAATAATATTTTTAAAAATAAGAAATATAACAACAATATTCATAATATTTACTTTATATTCTCCTTCAGCATCGGATGAACCAGGATCAAACTAAATAGAAATAAAGTTTTATTTTAAATTTAATGATTTTGTTTATTATATTATCAGTGGTGTCCCAAATTGACGAGATGGAGTGAATCTCTCACTAAATCTTGAACAAAATTTTCGTTTTCTTTGAGTGTTTTATTGTTTTATTTTGCATACAAATTTCCTAAAGCACACTCAAGTCTCCCTCCTACAATTCTGACGACCTTGGGACACCCCTGTATATTATTTCTTCTCACATTTTTATCATCTACAGATTGATCTTTTTCAAAATCAAAAGCATTCGAAACAACTTTGACACTATTATTAAGAAATACCGATGAACTAAAAATCCAACCAAGTGCCAGACCTGAAACATATCATAAACAAAATTTATATAATGTCTCTTCTGCTTGTAGTTATGTGTTTCTCTTTTACCTCCGAAAAATCCGGCTGCAAGCCCAACCGTAACAGTTTTTCCTCCAAACCAAGATGTTTGGCTCATACGAATACTAAAAGGAAGAAGGATAATAAAAATAAAATAAAAAAGACCATATTATTGACATTTTACTTGCCTAAATATGACATAATAATGTGAAGAAAAAATATTTTATCGAGCAATAAAACCAAGGCGAATGATACCAAAGATCAATCTAAAAAAAAACAGAATTTGATCTATTATTACAATATACATATAGTCATATGTAATTATGACGCTATAAATTTTCTTTCATTTCATACTTGTAACAAATGAAGCGTAAATGGTAACCTTCATGGGAAATAACAAAACGTAATAAAATTCTTTTCTCTTTTTTTTTTTTTCGTGTTTTGTAGAATAATATATGTCTATCAGCGAAGACAAATATAAGTCTTGTTGATAAGCAACAAAAAACCTTAGAGTATATATAATGGAAAATAGATGGATAGACAGAAGTTCTACGTGTCTGGTTGGATGATGTCTTAACAACATGCATCACAACTACAGCTAAATGTCATTTAAATATACCAATACGCATCGGTATACAGTGCGAGAAAAGAAACACGGTTTTTCTTTCCTTTTTTTTTCGATCAGTATACTTTTATGCATTGACAAGAATAAAAGAAACGTAGTTGTGTATGCAAGATAAAAAAGAAACGCAGTCAGAAATGATTAATTACTTTGTAGTAGAAGGAAAAAAAAAATATCACAAATCATCTATATCCTAGGCGATAATAATTATGCTCTTGAGAGAAAAAATATATGGATTTTTTGTTAGTTCAAAGAGCAAAGTCCATACTAGCGTGCAAATAAAAAACAAGCTTTACTCCATAAAATTACTTCATTTGAATTAGGAGTCAATTAAATATTTGTATTGTAAAAACAGCGTGCAAATAATTAGAAATATAACCATAAAATGAGAAACCAAAAATAATTTGAATTCAAACAAGACGCCTAATAACGCTGTTAAAAAATAATATTTTTCTTCCAAAAGAATGAATCATTATCGACCCACATTCTATCATTGTTCTTATAGTACGAGACAACAGCTGCAGCTTTGTGTATGACAAATTAAGAAAACGATTCTTCTCGTGATTTGGGCAAATATTGTGTCATACTTCTTCTTATCAACTATTTTATCTATCGAATTATCTAAAATAAAATATTAATCTCCTTTCTGTTTCTGTTAGCATCAGCAAATGACATTATGCCGCTGCTAATTTTCAAGGAGATTATTCTTTGTCGTTCTCTTTCATGTAGTCTATAGTCATCATTCTACGTTATATATAATATATATATACCGATTTTTTCACCACTTTTTCGTGGGAGTATTTTTATTGTTGTTATTTACTTCTGTACCGGGTGGTATTTATCGGGTTATTATCGTCATTGTTACTTCATTATATATATATATTGTCAACAAATAATATACTGATCCTCAGTCTTCATATTACGAGTGATTAAGTTTCTGGTAGGAAGTTTATTTTACGTTAGTTGCCTAATCCGATAAAGACCAGAGATTCTAATAATTATTTTTTAGCTTACGTACAATGGATGGACAGAAACAATTGATAATTAGTTGAGATCGTCATAGTTTCGCATATGACTTGTCAATTGTATGTAAAATACACGATAATCCCTACAAAAAATATTCAAACATCTAAAAGATAATATACACATCACACACATGCAGATATACCATGATATTAAAGCTTCAATTTTCATCATATAACTTTAATCGATGAACTAAATATTTAATAAATCATAAAAATTATTTCATCAAAAAAATAGTTTATTTGTTTTTCTCAAACTTACAATAATATATTTTCTAAATAAATATATCCTACGAATTTAGTATTGCTGATTCTTTTTTTTTTGTTGTTATCTAGTATAAATAAACAAACAAACAAATAAACATCAATAGCATAAACCAAAAAATAAGTGTTAAAGATAAAGCTAACTTTGTACAAACTAACTGCATCATTCAGTTTTAGATGTTTCGGTTTTTCGATTTACATAAGAAAAAAAAAGAAACAATAACAAAACACCTAAAAACACTTATACACATACACACACATATAGACAAACACACTAAAATTAAATAGTCATATGACCAAAAAAAAGTACATATATTATGCTCGTTGTTGAGCACCATAATATTGAGTGATAGGTGGTGCATATGAAGTTGTCGGTGTACCTGATGCAGTTCCATATGCTTGTTGTTGTTGTTGTTGTTGTTGTTGTTGTTGTCTTTGTTGATTCGTTGGTGGATAACCTGTTTGTTGTTGTTGAAAAGCAACGGCTAAATCATGTCGAAGTGGTGGTGGTGGTTGACCACTTGCTGTTACATATGGATCATTACGATAAGTTGTATAAACATCATAATCACTAAAAAAAAATGAAAGATGCATCGATATTTTATTAAAGATAATAAAATTATAAACCGTGCTGTTGGATTTTGAGCAGTTGCAACTGGAAATTCTGGATCACGAGGTCGACTAGTATAATATTTTTGATAAGGATCATAAATATGATAAGGATCAACAGATGCTGGTGGTCCTTGAGGTAATCCACCGCCATAATATGGATCTACAGGTGATGTACCCTGATTACGATCATACATTCTATAAAGAAAAACAAAGAAATTGTTTGTTTTGATATGTTTACAAAGTTTGTTAAATCAATAATAAAAAAAACAATCAGTATTATAATGCAAAATGACAATTAAATATCTTATTTACGAAACAAAAGAAGTCCAAATTCCTGAATGTGATTTATTCATTCTTTAGTAATAAAAATAATCTATTAAATTATTGATATCTAAAAGAAAAAAAAATAGATCTTCTTACCGACTTGTATTATAACCCATATTATCTGTTCGAGCCTGTGGTGGTAAATCACGATAATCACGCATAGAATACATGCCTGCTTGTCCACTATTACTTCCACTCATACTAGCATATGTTTGTGCTGCATATAAATTATCACGAGATGCATCATATCCTGATCCATAACCACTATCACGTCTATCTTCATAATAATGTCGTGGATCTGTTCGAACATCATATGGACGCGAGCGATCATAGACAGCTGATACTGGACCATAACCAGCAGCCATAGCATTCGGATCCATCTGAATACCATCATATGGACGAGCATCACTACGAACCCATGCTGATGCACTATGACGCATTGGACCAACACCACTTGTAGGTGCAGCTGGACTATATCGAGATAAACCATTTCCACTAGCCATTGCAGCAGCACGAGCACGAGAACTAAATAAAATAAATATTTTTCATTGATGAAAGAAAAAAAACATATATATTTAATAATTATACTTTCGTAAAGCACTAGCTGGTTCTGGTTGACCAGGTCGATGTCGCACTGTACTTGTTGAAAGCTAATTAACGAAATTTTATTTGAAAAAACTAAATATAATAATAATTTATTACTTCAACACGTAATCTTTTTCCATGAAATTCTTTATTATTTAATGCAACTGCTGCTTTTTCAGCTTCTTCAATTGAACCAAAATGCTAATCAAGGAATAATAAATGTCTTGAAATTATTAAATAAATTCTTTTATTTTACCACAAAACCATAATCTTTAATCACAGATGCTTCAAGTACAGTACCAAATGGTGCAAATAGCTCAGATAATTCGGCTAAATAAAATAATTAATTATCAAAAAACAAAAAAACAAACATTATCATTTACAAGGTTGTGTTGCTGGATCAAGATTTCCGATAAATAGTTTTGTTTTTACTACTTTAACTGGTCCACTCATTGTTATTGTTCGTATCTAGAATTGTGGAGAAAAAAAAAAAGAAAAACACCCGATCAGTAAAATTATAATCATACTATAACAAGAGAAATCGGTTTACAGAAGCAAAAGAACAACGTTAAATTGAAGAAGATAAAACAAATATAAACGCAATCAAGCACCTTGACCTTTAAGTCTTTTTTTTTGCTACATAAGAGACGATGAACGTACACACACAGATAGTAACAATGTCAACTGTTTGTTATATCAAACAGTGGAACGTATCGATCAAAGATCACAATAGAAAAAGAAACAGAAATAAAAAAAACCAGCTAGAAGAAATGGAAAAACATAAATAAGAGAAAAAAAGGCAATGAAAGTTTGTTTTTTTCGTACAATATGTGTTCATGTTTTTGAAACAATCAAAAAAAAAGGAAAATAGATCAAGAAGAGAAAATATTACAGACACATTTGAGTGTTCTGTAAGAAAAAAAAAGAACAAAAAAAAAAAGGAAGACTAATGAAATTTTTTAAAGAGATGAATGGTTTTCGGCGCACGATATTTCATCATATTGTGTTCGTCATCGTTCGAGCATAGATCGCATAATGAAGTAAAATTATAGATCAAAGACAAGAAGAAGCGAAAAGACGTGCGCATTTGTAACGAAACGCAAAAGCGAAGAATGTGCAAGCTAGAAGATAATGATAAAAAAATGCATTCGATTTATAATATATGCAAAATATTGATAAATAAATAGAAAATTAAAATTGTATCTTTTCACTTGCTTTATCAAACTCCATGTGCATACGATCAGAACAAATGTTCGATTCGTAAATATTTAAAGTTTAAACGAATCGACTGGAGATTAAACTTACTGAAGTGACGAAATATCATCGTTTTAATTTGAATGATTAAACGATAAACACGCTGAAAATTGATATTTATATTACTAACCTATGGCGCGAAAGTTTTGCTACAAAATATTTACTCATTTTTTGGTCACTTAAAGACAGAAGCACATGCAAGGAAAAGTCCTTAACTGATCCACACTGCTTTCATTGATATTAAAAATCCTAATAGGCTTTGGACTGATGAGGCTTCTTTAGAAGGTTATAATCATTTTATTGATTTAGTCACTTAGTACAAGGTATGCAAAGAAAAATTGAACAATGAAGTTTCAATCTGAAATTTTGCTTAGATGTAATTCCCGTGGTTATTAGAACACTCTAAATGTTTTTCTCGTCGTGAAATTGAATTGTTAAAAAAAATCAGTAACATGGTTATAACCTTCGAAAGAAGTCCCATCAGTCCAAACTCTCTTAGGATTTTTCTTAGAATAATGTCCCTAACATATGGACAAAATATCATTGAAAACGGCATGGATCAATCAGAGATTTTACCTCGTTAGAATCAGACTTTTTAAACTCTTTTAGAATATGTTTTCAGAATTTTCTTTTGGAATATGTTTGTTTCAAAATAGTGATTTTATAAATTTGCTCTACAAAATATCTTATTTACTTTTCTATTTTATATTTCACAGGAAGTCGGAACGATAAGCACAGATACTTCAGTACGAGAACGTTCAGTATCAACAACTTAACTACGTAAAAAACATAAAGATAAATGGAATGTTTATTAAAAAGCCAATGAATGTAAATGAAGGTGGATATTTGTTAGCCTTCTCTCCATTTCCATTCACACTCACACTCATTACCTTCATGTTTTTGTACGTACTGATTATTTACGCACTCATCATTCACCCATCCCTATAGAAACTTGTTCTTTAGTGAAAATACACAGATGACATTTTGCTTATTGTAATATCTCATTTTGTACAAAATTCAATAATCTGAAATAGCGAAAAATTCTTTTTTTTTTGTTTTTGACTCTGATCAATTATATTTTAGTGACCGAAAACAAAAATGAGCAAAAGTATTGTATTAAGATCTTCATGCTATAGGTTAGATGTTGGTCGAAATCCTTCCAATAGAAGCGCTTATTTTGATTTGCTGAAGTGATGTGTACCATACAACAGAAAATCAATGAAACACGACATGATCGCATTTCTAATATTACAGATTTCCTATATATGACAGCAAATCTACTTCGGATTAGTATTTAACGAAATATCGATTAGAAGAAATTTTAATCGTTAATATCTTACTTGTAATATATATCTATCGAGAATCGAGATTTCTAAAAAATGATCATTTACATAAATTTTACTTAAGATTTATCAGCGTTGTAGATCTTTTGAAAAGAAAAAAAAAACATATGGATTATCATCATCTATCACAACTTTATTCTATGTGATAAATATAAACATTCAATTGTATCCCAATAATATTAAGACTAAATTATTCAATCGTAAGTAAACACGAACTCTAAAATATAAATACGAAATTAACAATGTCGAGTTTTAATATTATATTTCAATCTATTTCGCAATAGAAATTCGACGCAGCGTATACATAAATTTATTGAAAGAAGATATTTCTATGCGTTGTTTTTTTTAAAGCGAAACATTGAAAAGAAATTATTTAAATTTTTATACATACTTGTTTTAATTGATGATTGATTTGGAAATCATTAAACATACTTTAAATTAATTTTTCTTTATGATTTTTTCTTTGGTTTAATGTTTTCGATGATGATGATGATGCTGATGATGCTGATGCTGTATCATCTGATTGATTTTCTTCATTTTGTTCAACATATTCTTCATCATTATTATCATAGTCTTCAGGAGAAAAATTAGCTAATTGTGCACGTACAACATCACTATCAGGATTGATTTTTCCTGACCATAAATCTTCTATTCGAAATGCTTCATATATACAACAACGTGGAAACCAACCACGTGGACGACGACGAAGACGATGATGACTATTTATTATATCATCATTTTTCTTTGTTTCATTAGCAGTAACACATTCACCATATAACCAATATCTTTCCCAACGTGTTACAAGAACATAATCACCTTTTTCAATAGGCATACGAGTTTCATCCGACCAAGGAATACATATACATGTACAAAAACCATAACGTAATGTTATATATGAACCTTTATATGATTGAACAACTTCATAACGTACAGTACGTTGACGTTTATCTTTTTTTTGTTCAAGTTGTTCACATGTTAATGCATATTCATCAGAACCATCACGTACAGGCCATATTAAACCATCACCAATAACATTATATGATTCTCTCCAATTAAATACTTGACGAAAATTTTCTTTAAAACCAAGATCATATGGATAAATAAATGCTTTTGCACGACGATGATTACGATCACGTGCTTTACGTAATATCCAACTTTCAATACCTGTTTGATTACGCATAATACTTCGTAATTGAACAATTAATAAAAATCCAACCTACAAAATAAATTTATTTTTAACAATTAATAAAGAAAAAAAAACAACAAATAATAATAATAATAATAATACGATATATCAACTAACAGCAAATATAACACCAAGTGCAAGACCAATGGAAAGTATACATGATATTAAACCAACAAATGTAAAATAAATAATTGGAACATTTTTTATACGAGCATAAATATAATATTGAGCAAATAATGCTCTATATATACATGGACAAAGCATTAATAATGCATGTGTACAACCAAGTATAGCATAGAACATAAACCAACAAAAATTTGCATGATTAAAATGACCAGTACATGTATTTATCCATGGACACTAAAATATATACATAGAAATTTCAATTGTTTCTTATTTTCGATTGAAAATTGCAGTTTAGTTTTTTAATCATTAGTACACGTAAACATATTGATTAAAATCTATTCTAACAGATGAATGAAACGTGGAACAGAGATCTCAATGTATTGGGTAGAACTGATTCGATATGGTGGTGGATGTCTATGGGTCGAACCTTGAATAAAATATAAAATTTTTAAAAGATGTTGCATATTTTCATTAAATTGTTTTTTCAATCATTAATTTTTTGTTGACACTTTTTTCTTCAACTACTAGTGCTGATTCATCATCATTATATACAAAACAGTATACATCCGAACGGATCGAATTTCTCTAGTTAAATACGTCATCAAAGATTTGTCTATACATCAACTATTGGTACTACTCGGAATATGCTTACTCATTCATGTATTAAAAATTTTTCCGACGTAATTAGATGAGTAAGCCATTTTTTAAGAAAAAATCTATGACCCGACTGTAGTCCAACCTAATGAGACTTGTGACGTGAAAGCTTGACTGTAAACATTTTATAATTGTCAATTGAAAAATTCTTTTTTTTTCCAATAAACTCGTCTCAAGTTTTTATCTATATCACGAATCTATTTGTTTTGAGAAGTTTGAAATGAAAAAATTTCTTAGTTAGATATTTTGCTTTTTTAAATTATCAACTTACATGATGATCAAGTTTCATAACACATCGACGACATTTTTTACAATGATGTGCACGTGGAGCTTTGAAACCTTCACAAACATCACCTATATATTAATTATAATTAGTTATTAAATTTTTTTTTTTTGTCAATCAAATGAAATCTTACAATATTGTAAATATTTTTCATGTTCTATTTTTGCTGGTTTCCATCCTTTTGGTACAAATCCTATTATAAATATACAAAAAAGAAAATATCAATTCAAAGAAATTTTTCTTGTTTTTTGCTATATTTCAATACATACCAGGACCAACAAAAACAGCACGAAAATAATTGTAAAAAATCACAACAGGCCATATCCAAAAAATAAGAAAATTAATCACACTTAATATATCTTTACTATCCGGTGGAAACCATTGAGTAAGACAATGGAAACCACTAATAGTTCTATATAGAAAAAAAAACACGCAATTAGATATTACAAACAAAAATCTTCCATACATCCATATTATCAGGGAGATGGCACCAATAGGACCATAATGTGCCAATTGATTTAATTGTCCAGAGCTGGTGCCAAAGCACATCTAGAATGAACAGAAATAGAGATTTTATTTCGATTGTTTATTTAGTATAATCAAAAAA